CCTATTACACTGCCCACAGTCTCAGTCCCCTACTGTACCCGGTCCCTATTACACTACCCACATTCTAACATTCCTCCTGTACCCGGTCTCTATTACACTGCCTAAGTTTTACTCCCCTCCTGTACCCGGTCCCTATTACACTGCCCATATTCTAACTCCCCTTCTGTACCTGGTCCCTATTGCACTGCCCAAGTCTTACTCTCCTCCTTTATCCGATCCCTATTACACTGTCCACACTCTAACTCCCCTCCTGTATCCGGTCCTATTACACTGCCCACACTCTAACCCCCTCCTGTATTCGGTCCCTATTACACTGCCCACACTCTAACTCCCCTCCTGTATCCGGTCCCTATTACACTGCCCACACTCTAACTTCCCTCCTGTATCCGGTCCCTATTACACTGCCCACACTCTAACTTCCCTCCTGTATCCGGTCCCTATTACACTGCCCACACTCTAACTTCCCTCCTGTATCCGGTCCCTATTACACTGCCCACACTCTAACTCCCCTCCTGTACCCGGTCCCTATTACACTGCCCACACTCTAACTCCCCTCCTGTATCCGGTCCCTATTACACTGCCCATACTCTAACTCCCCTCCTGCATCCGGTCCCTATTACACTGCCCACACTCTAACTCCCCACCTGTACCTGGTCCCTATTACACTCCCCACACTCTAACTCCCCTCCTGTATCCGGTCCCTATTACACTGCCCACACTCTAACTCCTCTCCTGTATCCGATCCCCGTCACAATATAACTTTCCTCCCTTACCTCTGACCCTGCTGTTTCGGTTCCACGATCTGTAAATGACGGGGGGAGGGGGTTCTGTACAGTTTTGACATGTCTATCAGACAACTATAGTAATTGCATTTGATTGGTAAAAATGTACATGATTACAATAGGACAGCGAGAAACACAATCACTTTAATCTTTAGTCCCTTTGATTCCTGTAGTGTGAATTTAAAATATGACCAATTTTTCACTGTTTATTTTTGTTTAATCTGAAATAACGATAGAAAATTTCGTTTCTTACATGGACAATGTTTTCGATACTATAAAAACATATAGACTATGTAAACATCACAATATGTTTTAAACTGTAACCGTTATTTAAGTTTCTTCATCGACAACAATGATTAAGGCTGAGTATATTGGGTTAATTGAAAGTACCAAATCACCTCGAATCTGTTGAATTAAGCCTTTACATTCTTGTATCACCACTGCCCAACCTGTTTGTTACCGATCCTCGTATTACCGCACTTGTTCCAGAACACAGACGTTACCCAACCATAAAGTTAATTTAGGTCAGATTTGTTACTGCGCCGTGAGCGCTTGTTGTTTCCACTTAAACTTAGCCTGTGGGGACAAATTGTAATGGAATATGTATATCGACATTTTTTCGTGGTTGCGAAATGGATCGTCAAAGAAAAAAACACAGCATGGGAAAGCCTCTACTCTAAACCCATCTGTATAGTTTGAACAGGTGTCAGAGTCGGGATATCTTACACAGGCAGCAGATAAAATATTTTGACATCTTTGTTTTTCAACGATCAAGAACATCTGTAAAACTAGCTTGAAACTTAACGCGAAGTCTGAATGGGTTTCCAAACTAATGTCATCTCTTAAACCGGCCAATCAGAACGAGCGTAGCAGTTTTTGAAATTGCTGCGCGTGTTCTGCCAGCTGATAGTAACGCTTACTATACGCGCGGTTATCTCGGTGTTATCATCAAACATCGTTGCCAAACAAAAGACAACCAAGAGTTAAAAAGGTTACTTATATTGGCACTGGTTTAGGAGGGAATAGTGCTACATTGTGAACTTCTGAATGAGATTTTTTAAGTGATAAAAATGACTCAGTTTCTCCTCCCCCTCCCCACTCTTTTTACTGTTTAGATCTCGAGCTGATTAGATTTTGATAAGTTTCGTAATGTAGCATTACTAATGTGTGACTGATTCAACTTTTCAAAAGTCAATGTAAACGTGATCTTGGCGTACACACAACCAGGTGGAAATACAAAACGTTAATGAACCATCGGGGTTTTAACACTTTTGCCAGAGGTAAATATTCTACTTTAGAATTTACATTCAAAACAACGCAAAAGGCAAAAAGATTTGTCAGCTTTATAAAACTGAATAAAGTATTTTTGATGCATATTTTATTTGAAACAGTTAAAAGTAAACGATTCCTTAAATATTTTTCTTCATAAATACGATATTTGAAGTTTTAATATCTTCTGGTAAGTGTTTGTTTCTGTCATTACACATGCTAAACGAAGATATTAGTAACGGACTGACGTAGTAGTTTCCAGTTCTGTAAAAATGCCCGCCAGTGGATTATCAGTTGTACCAACAGCGACAGAGGTCTCACCCCCTCCCGTCATTCTGAAAATCTAATCAGATTTTTTCCCAGTCAAGTGGCTCTTCTGATAAATTCCTCAGCAGCCGCGGTGGTTTGGATATAAGGCCAACTTAAAATTAGCTTAAATTCGAGAACAGGGTCAAAGTTGCATGAGTGGTAAATATCCGCTTGTAAGGGCTGAGGCGTTCTGTTTCCAATTCAGTTTTTGACATATGTTGTAGTATTCGTAAATAGTACTTTGATTATAAATAAACTGCATTCATGGTCTTAAAAATTTCATATCTTTTAAACAATTTGTTGATGTTTCTTTCGGTTATCTATCAATATATCATTCTCTAATCATTTCTGTATCTAGTACAATTAAGGAATAGTTTAGCCTTGTAAGATTCACGCCCCACAGATAAGGAATTACTACCGACTCCGGGGTCAGTGCATAGCTTTTCATTAGCCAGTGAACGCACAGGCACTCGAGGCCAGGATATTATTTTTTAAACGTTGATTTTTGTTTTAGCACTCATGACTGACGTTATTTAAACGAAATATCAGCAGAATTCAAGTTTATGTGCCGGTTGACAAATCCGAGGTCCACGGTCATTAAAAATACACAAGGCAAGCAACTCCAGATTTTAAAAAATCGACCCCTCGCTTGGAAACTGGCTCAAAAAAAGTAGTTATGATAAGTTCCTTGTAAAACAATATGTATCCGTAGGTAGTGTGTATATTTACCTTTTATTTGGTGCATAACATTACAGGCAACGAGAAATTCACAATACGTACATGAGATTAACATCTCAATAATCGGAGATTTTATCGTCCATGTAATTATCTTTGACGGAAGTAACATGCCATTTCAAGGGCGGTCACTCCGACTTTTTGGGAGAGGAGTTCCGGATAGCACTATACCAGTGAACAGGTAAGAAAGGATCCGATGTCATTACGCGCGTAACTTCAAAATAGATATTTTTATTTCTACAAATACATTTGCGGGGATGGAAAAATAATGGCTGGGCAAAGAAAGTCCACAGTTGCCAACTCGGATACAATATCATGGTAAGGGATTATACAGAATGCATCAAATTTCAATCAAGCTGGCGGTAATGAGAATTTTTTTTCAAAAAAAAAATAGAAAAAAAAAATCATGCAGATAATGAAAAAAGGGCGCAATTTATGAAAAATATCGTGGGGGAAATATATTAACTTAGAAATTGGAAATTAAATGATTTTTTTTCTATTTTTTTTTAAATGCCCAGCCATTATTTTTCCATCCCCGCAAATGTATTTGTAGAAATAAAAATATCTATTTTGAAGTTACGCGCGTAATGACATCGGAACCTTTCTTACCTGTTCACTGGTATAGTGCTATCCGGAACTCCTCTCCCAAAAAGTCGGAGTGACCGCCCTTGAAATGGCATGTTACTTCCGTCAAAGATAATTACATGGACGATAAAATCTCCGATTATTGAGATGTGAAAAAATCTAGCTAAAACAAAAATCAACGTTTAAAAAATAAAGACAACATAAGAAATTGGAAATATGATAATGATCCGCCCGATCCTTCTAAAACCTTTTCACTTAGTAGAAAAAAAGTCGATGTTTTTTTACCAACAAGTGTTTGTTTACAACCGCAGTCTAGTACCAAACTCGAACAAGCTGGGATCAAGAAATAGGAATTCCTTAAATTAACCACCCGTTGCTTCTCAACATATGACGACATCAATAACAGTTATCGTTTTAAAGCCTTTCTCTAGAAATAATAATAAAGATGGTTTGAAGGATGGACAGACACAACAATGTTCCATTTAATTCATTGATCATAATTTGCACCAGATGGCAAGGCTGTTCAATTTTCTTTTGTCAAATGCTTTACACAATAATTGTGTATATATTGATGAGTCTTTATTTAAATTTATTTAAATCCATTTTAAAATGGCCTTCGCCAAGCTGTTTGGGTACAATTCACGTACAAGCGTGATATAAAAAGGGGCCCATGTGAATTTGTAGGAGGATATCGATATTACATACTAGCTAAATGCCAAATGTCATTGGGAAGAAACAATACATAAGGCACGTCTGTCTCTTGATATTATAGGTCTCGGGTACCAATACTGCCATATAGATTTCTATAGAAATTTCAACTTCAGAGGTCAAGCATAACTAATTGAATTATCGCGAACGTATCATGGTTTGATGATCAGGAAGATATGCATGTGTGTGATCACTTATTATCTGGTCATTGAAAAAATGACCTCACTGTCATAAGTACCGCGTACTAGAGTCCGTGAAGGGACGCCAATGGATGCTTTTTAATACAATTACTTCGTATACATGACGATATATTTTACTAGACCGTTTTCATTTATCGGTTTGATCCGTATATTCCTTTCCCTTTCAAGACTGTATATTACTGAAATAAGACATATCAGAATCGAACAAGCTCCTCAAAGTTAGTCTATAATTAATGACAATTTTTCCGGGTGATTACTTTCTTAATTTATATTAGGAGCTTAATCCACGTGTTAAACACTGCAGACTCCCCTTGGCGAACCTCAATCTGAAATACTTGTCTCGAATACGCTTGAGAAACAGTCTTGCACTACAAACGTTTGAGAGACGCTGTCATTCGGCGTAGAAACGGGCATGGCGGACAACCGCAGTAATTCGTCAACGCCTGAAATAACTTATTATTTGAACATCGAAAATGCAAAAATCCTTGCGTTTACTATGGTCCTGGGGTTCGTTATGTATCATAGTGTTATACATATGAAATATGGTAAGTATTTTTTATCTGGGTAATTGATATTTAAAAAATATCTTGCTCTGCCATCTGACAGAATATTGACACTGACAGACGAATCAGCTTATATCCATGTTTTTATTAATTGTTAGTGTTTGTACCTCAAACTCTTATTCTTCAATACCGATGCCATGAATAGAGACTATTTTCGATATATTTCACAGGGATTGAAGGGTTAAAGTTGTGTTTGTACTTTTCGTGAGACAAATACATGCATGTCAATTGCAACGATATGTTAATCCCGGAAACCTGTATCTTGTCTTGAGCAGGAGTGCTTATGCATGCGGCGTACTAGCGTCTTTCTCTGAGTGATAAGTACTTTAAGGCTTTACAATGCAATTGATTTGTGCACACAGATCGAGCCTCACTAACTCTGGCCTTGAAACACACAGACTTAAAAACAAGGTAATGAATCATGATTCGTGAAGCGAGACATTTATGTGTTATGCACCAGGCCAAATCTTGTTGATTTTATATCATTACATAATTGCAAGTTTTTACTTATTCACACACATACCTTACTTACATTTTATTGCCAATATGGTGTCGTGTCATCTTCAGAAAAAGAACCTAGTGATAAAGGTTTGAATATGACTTGTGTTGGTGATCTTTTCTATTAGGCCACACCAATTTTTAAAATGATTTCTTCAGATTTTTCGACAAAAAACAGGAGCAAGAGGGTGGGGTTTTTAATTTGATTTTGTTTTTCTTATTTTGGATAATATCATGCAAGCGGAAGTAAAATTTAACAAATATGGATTTCATTGCTTCAAGAGATGCACACATTGGATAATTGAAATGGTATTTAGCTGTAAGTAATGTTTTGGCATATTTTTAAGTGATCACCTTTGTACTGGGAATATTCAAATACAAATTTTTCATTCTAACATGTGATAAATATTTCACTTGAAAATGATAATCATTTCTCACTGCACAGTATTTCTTTCCATGGTTTTCCAAATTAATTCATACTAGTTATGAGTGGAATGGTAAAACAAAACAAAAACAAAACATATCCAAAGTGACAAATAACAAAAAATATGAATTGAGGAATTCTTACTTAAAATTCTGAATTTATTCAAAAGCATATCAGCTAGTAAAAATTGGGATGTTTACTCGCAAGTATGAGCACAAGAGAAACCTAAACTCTACATCATGTTAGCATAACATGTATAATTGTTTTCTTAACAGTTGATACAGTTTTTTAACCCTGGGAAAATACTAGCTGCAATATACCACTCGGCTAGAGAGAACTTCTCTTTAGCTCGATTGGTTGAGTGTCAGTCTAGTAAGTCAGGGATCTCGGGTTCGATTCCTAGCGGAGGCATTGAGATGAAAAATGGCCTCTGTTACAGTTTTATTAATATTTATCAAAGAAAAAAAGAAGACAAAGTTAGTAATTGACCACAAACTCATAGTTTATACAGCTTTACGACAATTTTCACTTGTATCACAATGTCAAGTTATGAAACATACTGTTTCATCATAGCTTCTCAAGCTTACAGTACTAAGGCGCAATAGTCCCATTTCATTCTTAGCTCACTTGGCGCAAAGGGGAATTATCTGATAAAAAATGCTTCTCTTCTTTTTGTTCAAGTGAACATAAAAATCAGTGTTGAATATGGAGTGGAGAAAAATCACAAGGTGAAATCTATATCAGCATTATTTCATATTGTAAATTTAAGCAGGATGAATATTAAAATTTACTTTGATATAATTAAAACTGTTAAGAAATAACTAAGTAATAGATAAGATTTTCTTATAAATGGTCTTAAATGTATGTACACAAGTATACAATGGTAACAGAATTATCTCTAGGGTTTTCATGTAAGAAGTCAAGGACAACACATTTGTGTTTTTGTATACATGCTTGGTGTGACTTTTGTGTGATGGTTATAGAGGATAACAGTCCAAAGTTTTTTGGTAGTTGACACAGTCTGTTACAGTGCTCCAGATAACTTTTTGACGTGTGGGGTTTTCACTCCTACCTTTATAAATTGAGGGGTTTTTTCACCCCTGCCTTCATCAAGTGTATGGGTTTTTCCATATTAGGGTAACACTGAATTTGTAAACATTTTTGACAGCGCCATATTTGCTATGTGACTGGTTTATGTCTGTTTGACTTAGATTATTGAGTTTTCTAACTACGTAATATTGGAGCCAGACATTGACGCAGAGTCCGGATTTCGCACGGGTTAATGACGCAAATCTTATTTTTTTCCTAGCGTGAAATTAGAAATATTGTGCGTGAAAACGCATTCACACAGGCTATCTGGAGCACTGTGTTATCTTCTATTGTACTGTTTTTTGGATATATATATACCGGGTATGTGTTTTGAGAAAGATCTCCTGGTATCAATTTAATCTGCATCTTTTCTAGTGAACAATGATCATGACCAACGTAACCCATAACCCATACACTACTGTGCCTGTCTAAATGTTTGGAAATGACAATATTTTAACAGTTCACTGCATTGTTTTCAATGCTAGAGGCCTATTCACCAAACCTGAATTATAAAAAATATTAATCGTTCACTTTTATTTAAAAGGTAATGACTCCTGCAAATGGTTGCTGAGTGATGGTCGTTTCCCGGGTTACAACACTTGGCAACCCTATGGTTGTATGATGCACAAGTATAATAACTTGTAAGTACATATATCATTATCATTTATTGAATGGTTTTGAAAGAGAAGAATGTATGTCCTAGATATATTTTAATTATAACTTTATGGGGTCCTTAAGGATTCAATCAATTGTGTTATTGTTACTATATATAGAACAAATGAATCTCAATACTCCCATGTCATCAGTAATAAGTGGCAAATACAGCGATTAGTGGTTTATCTTACATGGTCTGACCAGTTTTATATTAACCTGCATGCCACATTTTAAATCATTCAAATTGTGATATGGTTGAGAATTTACACATGTGCTTATGTTCTTCCAAAATTATCAGATAAATGAACACTATGGAGTTTATTAAACTATGGGGCTAGTGCACTTCCCTATCTAGATATTGACATTTCTCTTAGCTCGGATTTTCCTCGGTCGCCTTTCTAGATTTAAAAATCTAGACCCTTAGCATAACTAATACAAGTCCTAGAAAGCGGAAAAGCTGTATATGATACTGTATATCCAAGGTAAGTCATTGTTAGCTAGCTATGTAGTGATATACTGGTACACCCCAATAGATAATGTATCATATTGTGTTACAAAACCAACATAACTGTATATCACAATATATCACATGTTGAGTGTTTTATATTAATTTTTTAAGGATTCTTGATAAATAGGAACTGTAATGAAGTAATGTAAGACCCTGTATCAGTTGGTATCCAAAGATGGTGATAAGTTGTTGATACAACATCAGTGCATCAGGATATATCATGAAATGTTCAGCCATGTTGCTTCACCCCTATTCTTAGCCCACCATCATCAGATTTGTGGCGATTCAAATCGCCCTACGTCAATCGTTCATGGTCTATGGTTTGTCCGTCGTCTGTTTGTAAACAACATTTTTATTGCTTTAACTTGAGAAATACTGAATGGTTTGTTATCAAATTTCACGTGTAGGTTCCTTTTGGTCCCTAGTTGTGCCTGGTCGATTTTGGGACTTACCAGAAAAATAGAAAGGCCAATAGAAGGCCATCTTTAATTTTGTTCTTGAGAATTACTTGATGTTTCTTCCTCAAATTTCATATGTAGGTGTGACTTTGTCCTTAATTGTGCCTGTTTGATGTTGGGACTGATCGAAAAACAAAATGGCTGACAGATGGCCATCTTGGATTTTGACCATAAAGATTTGTTACTGTTGTTTTTTTAATAATACTCGATGGATCTGCCTCAAATTTCATGTATTCCTCTTGGTCCCTAGATGTGTGGTACATTGTATTAATTTTGTGACTGATTTTAACAGGCGACCATCTTGGTTTTGGCAGTTAAAATTATCATTGCTATTTCCTGGAGGAATTTTTAAATTTCACATGATAATTAAAATCAAAGAAGATTATAAAGATGAGAAAAGAAGGGAAAAGGACTTGTGAAGAACAAAGAAAACATCAAACAATTGTGGGTGCCAAGATCCATATGGGATCACATGTTTAACTCCACTTCAGTATAAATTTGGATTAAAAGGTGCTATATATGTATATATATTGTGTGTCTTTTGTAAAACCTTTGTAATCATATCAATAATCATTATAAAATTTTATTTCAGAGATGCCAGGATGTGTATGCATTACATATCTTATTGGGGTGGAAACAACCACATAACATTTCTGGGAGACTCAAGAATTCGACAGCTTTATTTTGAATTTGTCAACCTGTTAAGTCCAACACCAATTAAGTCCTACAAGACCCACTCTGATCTACATTTCCGGGATGATAAAATACATGCTACTGTGGTAAGTAGTTGTAGTGATAACAATCCTCATGGCATGCTACCGTGGTAAGTAGTGTGTGGTGATAACAATCCTCATGGCATGATAAAAAGTCTTTCTAGAATTAGAGTTATTGACATGTGTATTTTTTATTTTATTCACAACATTAAAGGGGACAGTATGTCATCATAGAGATTTTAAGTTATAAAAATAAAACTTAATGAAAAACCTGTAATTTTCTTAAGTAAGGAAAGTTATTAATTTAGTCCAAAAGTAAAACACAATTCTTAAAACACAATTCTTAAATTACAAAAACTTAGAAGTGTGAACATCGACCAAGATTAATCCCACCAGCAAGTTTAAATGTGAGCATGCAGCCTCTGTTCAATTCCATGCATAGTTCATCATTGTCAGGCACAAGGACTGGAATGATCCTCATTTAGACATGATGTGAAAAGTTATTATGTAGCATTTTTGACATTGAACAATGGAAGGCCTCTTTTAAGATTTAAGTGCTTTGAACATCAATGGCAAGAAAACTTAATGATTTAAGTTACAAAAATAAAGAGATAAAGTCAACATGATAAGACACAGACAAGAGAAGTAAAGCCAGATTTAAACAACAACAAAAAAAAAAAAAAAAACAAGTGAAAACAACCCTGGAAGACCTTTTCTAATAATCTTTTGAAATCTTGATTCAATATTTCAGAAACAAAGTCCTGCTTGTGTTGATAAGTCAACAGTTTTAACAATAACTAGCTGATACAAGCTTAAATCAATTAAGGAATGAAAAATGACTGATGTTCGAATGTGGGTGTTTGATATTATTGCTCTAGATCTGTTGATTATCCAAATTTACAGTTTACGTTTGATTTTGTAGGATTTTCTATGGCATCCAATGGTGAACACCTCCATGTATGAAGTATATAAGAATTGGATGATGCAGGACCTGAAAGACCAACCCAACCTCGTCATCACAGGCAGCGGCACGGTCAGTAGTCATCAGCTGGTCATTCTAGCATCTACATTCTCTATTTTCTATAGACACATTATTGAATCAATTTGTATTGCTTCACTACACAATTCTGACGTAGAAAGTTTAAGAGTCATAACTGAAAAAAAACTAAATAATTGATATTTTGTCTATTATATAAACTCTATACTTTTGTTGACAGTGGTGTATCAAGCAATTCAATGGAAGTGAAGATGCCAAGAATAATTTTGCAGGTAATTACCATTAATAGACAGTCTGATCTTTGAGTAATATTAGTTTGGAGCAATTCGGTCACAACATTTCTGTAAGAATAATTGATGATAATGCCAAGATTTTAAAATCAGCAAGAAAATACCAACATGCTTAAAAAATCTAAATTCAAACTCTGAATCAATGAAACAATATATAAACAAAATGAAGAATTACATAGAGACCCTTTTACTGTTCCAGAAAAGTGATTGTCTTCATCAACAACATCTACCATGTAAATCTTGGTCAATATTGAAGTTAGTATTTGATAACAATTTCAGCATAGAATTCTGATTTGTTGGAGTTTATATTCAACATTGACAATATTTTGTTCACTATATTATAGCAATGTTGTTTTTTTTTTATTTCAATGGGCTTTTGATGACAATGCCTGTTTGAGAAATAAATTATCACTAGGGTATATCATAACAAAATTTCCTATTATGAACATACAAATATCCACAAAAGTTCCACGGTCAATCTTGCCAAAAACTTGTTTCTCAGAATTCAGCTATGTCAGTATAGAAGTTTCATATGCTTAGGTAACACGAGAGTCATGACTTGTGGAATGATAGAATCTGCAGTTACTCTCCCACAGCTTTAGATCTTTCATTATATCTACATATTAAAAATTTGTTAGTACTGTATGGAAAATTTGTTTAAAGAGTTTATAGTGCAAAGAGAAGAATTATATATCAGAAGAATAATGAAACAGTTTTCTAATCCGTTATTGGACGACATGAAATGCTAAAGCTGTTATAGATATTAAGTCTTCGATTAAATCTTAGATTTTGCATTTCCTTATGAACAGTGGTATCTATTACCGGGTAGATATGCATATTGAATTGCATAAGTTATTGTTGTGCATTTCGTCAAGAATTTCATACCATGTGTTCGTGTATTGGAGTTTTAATTGGTTTTTATAGAAATGGTTGAGTTGCTTTAGACATCACTGTGTACCCTTGTGTTTTCTGACTACAGTAAATCTGACGTTGGTCATCCCACTAATGAAGAAGATGAAACGGGCAGGAGGCGGCAAAACAAATATTATCTGGATGTTACAAGGTAATAGGAATATGACCTTATCCTAAACTGGCTGACACAACCACTTCTAGTGGGGGAATTAGTTTTAAAAGTATTGGGTATCATGAGTTGTATTGAGCAAGATCCTTTAGTAACTGCCTGTCTACATTGTTTTGTTTACACCAGTCCACAGTTACTTTCAAGTTTAAACAAATTCTTGATCAATTAAATTTACCTTGATTATGTAAATAGGATATTTTTTCTCTTTACAATTATATTTTAGACCCTGATAACCCTATGTTTTGCTATTATTTTGTTAATAAGACAAGGCTGTACGGAAATTTCTATCACCCAGCCTTCTGTCATTGATATCATAAGAATGGCATGTAAACAGAACAAATTGTCTTCCTTTGTTTCAGATCCTGTTGATGAGACGAGACTGTATGGAAATAGAAGTTCTATAACAAATCAACAGATAGATAACTATAACAGAGTGGCTCTCGACCATCTGTGAGTATATCTATTATACTTTTGAATTTTAGTTCTGGTAAAATCTAGAATGATGTGACGATGATGGGAGAGTATTTAAAATAGAAATAAAATGTCAGCATTATGACATATCACTAGTCATGTTATTCTAAAACCTTACAGGGTTATCCACATAACCCTTTTTGATTAACAATTTTATATTGATAATTTTTATTTGTTAAGGGATGATGAAAGTGTGGCAAAGGTCTGGAGTTCATCCCGTTTGGTTGCTCAGGGAATTGGGGAAAGATCTGAGGATGGCCTTCATATGACAAAGCCAGCACTAGACCTGGTAAGTATAGATATAAGATGGATATGGTAGATCTGCTTGTGATAAAGGCTACATTATGCCTAGTAAATCTAAACATATCAAAGCTTTTTCTGCACCTAACGTGTGTACAGTTCTCTAGAGTTTCCTCTAGACATGATAAATCTACACATGATGTAGCATACAAAAGGCCTAGGATGTCAAGATATATTTAAATCTTTTCCTGCACCTAACGTGTTCAGTTCTCTAGAGTTTCCTCTAGACATGATAAATCTACACATGATGTATCATACAAAAGGCCTGGGATGTCAAGATATATTTAAATCTTTTCCTGCACCTAACGTGTGTACAATTCTCTATAGAGTTTCCTCTAGACTTGATAAATCTACACATGATGTAGCATACACAAGGCCTGGGATGTCAAGATATATTTAAATCTTTTCCTGCACCTAACATGTGTTCAGTTCTCTAGAGTTTCCTCTAGACATGATAAATCTACACATGATGTATCATACAAAAGGCCTGGGATGTCAAGATATATTTAAATCTTTTCCTGCACCTAACGTGTGTACAAGATATACAATTCTCATGTGTTATAGAGTTTCCTCTAGACATGATAAATCTACACATGATGTAGCATACACAAGGCCTGGGATGTCAGGATATATTTAAATCTTTTCCTGCACCTAACATGTGTTCAGTTCTCTAGAGTTTCCTCTAGACGTGATAAATCTACACATGATGTATCATACAAAAGGCCTGGGATGTCAAGATATATTTAAATCTTTTCCTGGACATAATATATGTTGGAAACATCCCAAGGTTAGAAAAAATTATTATGGTTGAAAGTTTGCTTAACATTTGATTTTGAAAGTAAATAGAATAGCATTGATCATTGTCCATGTGAATATACAGGAAGTTAATCAGTTCAAGACGGCAAATCAGTGATACAATATGAGACAATCATTGGATTGTTTATATCTTTGATAGCAAACTAGAAAAACTCAATTTTGATAAAATTTGTAATTCATTGTTTCAGAAACATCATATATAATTTATAGATGATAAAAGAATCAGAGAAACTGAAAATAATTTGGAAAATTAAAAAAAAAATTATTATGACCTATTGCTATTATGTATCGCAAGTCCTTGTGCACCATCCGCTGCTCGTAAACTTTTCCTTTAAAACACTATCACTGCTTAAGGTCTGGGTGGATTTCAACTAAACTTGATCTAAACTTGGGAATTGGGCCCCTAAAGGGTAGTTAAACAATACTTTGCTTCAAAATGCTACAATTCCTTAATGCATGAATGGATTTCATTAGAATCTTTGAGGTGGGCAATTTATTCAGGAAGTTGATTTGACTCCTAGGGACTTGGGGCCAGGGCTGAAAATGGGAAAGTTTGTCAAAAATTTTGCTTCAAAACACTACTTCCTTAATGCTTGAATGGATTTAAACCAAATGTGGTCTGAAATATCATTGTGGAAATTCATCAGATTTCTCAGATGACTGTTAAGGGCAAACAGCCCTCTTGTTACATTTTTGTCAGTGAAATATAGAAAAATATCTCATTTTTTGTCATAATACTTTGCAGACTTATGCCAGTAGAGAACACAAATCATCATATAGAATTGACACTGTGCACTTGTGAAGAGTACTAAAATATTAGACACACTTGTGAAATATATTTGTTATTACTGAAGATACTATTAAATATCCTGTATTTATTCTGTCTTGAAAGGATGCCCAGATGTTGATGAATATGTACTGTAATGACAACATGAACCATGCCGATGGCACATGTTGTCGCAGTCCAGAAGTAGCCACCACCCTCCAGATCATTGTAGCTTCATTCTTCCTCGTCTGGTAAGTGTTTGGATTAATTACATTCATCAATAAAGAAAATGAGGAAATGTTTTAATTTTCAGTCAGATATTAGCATTCTTCAATCGATAGATTTTCATGAAGATATTTCCTATTGAGGTTTTCAAACTAGTGATGGGTAATGAAAAATTATATGAAAAATTTTGAAATTGTGAAAGAATTCACATTTACCTGGTGTCCTTTCACATTCATTTCCAATATTAACCAAAGAAAGTTTGGTAATCATGATCACCTTTCACACAAGTCAGGATCCTTTTCTACTGTATCTGTATGTAGTCTGAGGGAAAAGAGATTATTTTTCCGTGGAAATACATAATTTGAGTTTCAAATGAAAGAAAACATTTGCATACGTTAACTTTACATTGGCAGTAATATCAACAGTCATGCTGGTGTTATTTAGATGGTGTCATATTAAAAGTATGTTCTTATAAAATATTTGTTCATTGCATCAGTAGTGACAAGCCACGAGTTCCTAGTTACAGTTGAAATGATATGTCATTTTGATGTATTTTACCCTTATTATCTTAATCTTTTAATTAGTTGAACTGTTCATAATTATTATGAGAATATGTTGTTAAGTGTTTGACAGTTGGTTTGTTTGAGCTAGTCCTTGTATAAATTCCTTCTTGTTATTTCAGTATGGTTTCTGCTATAGCCCTGATCATGTACAGGAAGAGACTTCGTCGTATTAGCGTTAAAGCTCGAGCAGGTAGGCTTTTTATGGTCTAAAAAATAATATTATACACAGAAAGTATCAAGAAATGCTATGTTGAGGGAAATATTTGTCTTTTTTTACCCCAATAACCCACGTTTTCCGTGATTTTGTTCCGTGGTTTGATTATACAGTCTGTTATTAACACACTTGTGCTACAAATTTAGACTGAACTTTCCTCTACTAATGATAGAATGCTAGTTATGAATATTTTCTTATGCTGTTTGGAAGTGTATATTTAATTTTAATTAAACACTTTAATTCATTCATCGTGTTTTAAATCCCTTTCCTTACACATTTATCTTGAACCAAAGTGACATATCTGGTATCTGGTATTTATTATCTGTTGTGTTGAGTGGGTTAGTTTTGAACTTTGAATAATCTGCCTGAAAAAAGAAACTTGTTTTTTTCTCAACTAAACAAATGATTTTTTTTTTTAACAGAAAATGGCCAGAGGAATGGTCAGAACTCCAGTATCATTGAGCCTTACCAGCCTTGTTTTGACATACTTACCTCCCTGGCAAAATTTGGTATCATCATGGCATACTTCTATATATGTGACAGGTATGGTGGTTTACAGCACTATTTGATAGCAGGATTTAATCCATACATCAAAGTAGAGGGGATAGCTGTTTAGGTTTAGTTCTACTACAGATCAATGTTTATTGACAATTCTGAGTTGATTCTTGTTATAACATTTAGAAGTACATACTGTGATTTGTTTCTACGATTGATAAAGAGTGTTTCTGTTTGGATGATAATGTAGTCAGGATCATAATGATTGTCTGTTGTGATAAGTCAGGAATTTCATTATCATAGACTTATCATTGTCTGTTATGGTAAGTCAGGAATTTCATTATCATAGACTTATCATGTCTGTTGTGGTAAGTCAGGAATTTCATTATCATAGACTTATCATGTCTGTTGTGGTAAGTCAGGAATTTCATTATCATAGACTTATCATGTCTGTTGTGGTAAGTCAGGAATTTCAGGATCATAGACCAATCATGTCTGTTGTGGTAAGTCAGGAATTTCAGGATCATAGACTTATCATTGTCTGTTGTGGTAAGTCAGGAATTTCAGGATCATAGACTTATCATGTCTGTTGTGGTAAGTCAGGAATTTCATTATCATAGACTTATCATTGTCTGTTGTGGTAAGTCAGGAATTTCAGGATCATAGACTTATCATGTCTGTTGTGGTAAGTCAGGAATTTCATTATCATAGACTTATCATGTCTGTTGTGGTAAGTCAGGAATTTCAGGATCATAGACCAATCATGTCTGTTGTGGTAAGTCAGGAATTTCAGGATCATAGACTTATCATTGTCTGTTGTGGTAAGTCAGGAATTTCAGGATCATAGACTTATCATGTCTGTTGTGGTAAGTCAGGAATTTCATTAACATAGACTTATTATATGTCTGTTGTGGTAAGTCAGGAATTTCATTATCATTGACTTATCATTGTCTGTTGTGGTAAGTCAGGAATTTCAGGATCATAGGCTTATCATTGTCTGTTGTGGTAAGTCAGGAATTTCATTATCATAGACTTATCATGTCTGTTGTGGTAAGTCAGGAATTTCATTATCATAGACTTATCATTGTCTGTTGTGGTAAGTCAGGAATTTCATTATCATAGACTTATCATTGTCTGTTGTGGTAAGTCAGGAATTTCAGGATCATAGACTTATCATGTCTGTTGTGGTAAGTCAGGAATTTCAGTATCATAGACTTATCATATGTCTGTTGTGGTAAGTCAGGAATTTCAGGATCATAGACTTATCATGTCTGTTGTGGTAAGTCAGGAATTTCAGGATCATAGACTTATCATTGTCTGTTGTGGTAAGTCAGGAATTTCAGGATCATAGACTTATCATGTCTGTTGTGGTAAGTCAGGAATTTCATTAACATAGACTTATCATGTCTGTTGTGGTAAGTCAGGAATTTCATTAACATAGACTTATCATGTCTGTTGTGGTAAGTCAGGAATTTCATTAACATAGACTTATCATGTCTGTTGTGGTAAGTCAGGAATTTCAGGATCATAGACTTATCATTGTCTGTTGTGGTAAGTCAGGAATTTCATTATCATAGACTTGTCATTGTCTGTTGTGATAAGATAGGAATTTCATTATCATAGACTTATCATTGTCTGTTGTGATAAGTCAGGAATTTCATTATCATAGACTTAACATATTTCTGTTGTGGTAAGTCAGGAATTTCATTATCATAGACTTATCATTGTCTGTTGTGGTAAGTCAGGAATTTCATTATCATAGACTTATCATTGTCTGTTGTGGTAAGTCAGGAATTTCAGTATCATAGACTTATCATATGTCTGTTGTGGTAAGTCAGGAAGTTCAGGATCATAGGCTTATCATTGTCTGTTGTGGTAAGTCAGGAATTTCATTATCATAGACTTATCATATGTCTGCTGTGGTAAGTCAGGAATTTCAGGATCATAGGCTTATCATTGTCTGTTGTGGTAAGTCAGGAATTTCAGGATCATAGACTTATCATATGTCTGTTGTGGTAAGTCAGGAATATCATTATCATAGACTTATCATTGTCTGTTGTGGTAAGTCAGGAATTTCAGGATCATAGACTTATCATGTCTGTTGTGGTAAGTCAGGAATTTCATTATCATAGACTTATCATGTCTGTTGTGGTAAGTCAGGAATTTCATTATCATAGACTTGTCATTGTCTGTTGTGGTAAGTCAGGAATTTCAGGATCATAGACTTATCATGTCTGTTGTGGTAAGTCAGGAATTTCATTATCATAGACTTATCATGTCTGTTGTGGTAAGTCAGGAATTTCATTATCATAGGCTTATCATTGTCTGTTGTAATAAGTCAGGAATTTCATTATCATAGACTTATCATATGTTTCTTGTGGTAAGTCAGGAATTTCATTATCATAGACTTATCATATGTTTCTTGTGGTAAGTCAGGAATTTCATTATCATAGACTTATCATTGTCTGTTGTAATAAGTCAGGAATTTCATTATCATAGACTTATCATATGTTTCTTGTGGTAAGTCAGGAATTTCATTATCATAGACTTGTCATTGTCTGTTGTGGTAAGTCAGGAATTTCATTATCATAGATTTATCATTGTCTGTTGTGGTAAGTCAGGAATTTCATTATCATAGACTTAACATATTTCTGTTGTGGTAAGTCAGGAATTTCAGGATCATAGATTTATTATTTGCTGTTGTTAGAATTAAGATACATATTATCAGTATCCTATTACCATAACTTTCAACAACATAAAAATTTTGAAATTTAGATATTGTTCTTCTGTATAATGACCAAAGTAAGAAAATTTGAATTCCAGCTTTCACTAATTTAACATTGTGATAAAATGTTCATTTGAATTTCTCATTGTATGATGAATTTGATGGTGTTCCCCATGCTTCCTCAGTTTTGGAACGTATGGTTTTAGACCATCATACATAAAGCTGGACACCAACTCACATGGGAGACCAATGTGTCTGCGTGTTCAGCACACACTCTGAATGACTTCCATGTGTATTTGGATTCCTACAAATTGTTGAAAAAATTAATGAAAATGAAACTGTTTTTATTAATTAATAAGAAACAGTGTAATGTTTGTGGAATTGTGTCCAGTGGGCCAACTCATTATCCAAGACTCACAATGAAGGGGTAGGCTTATTATAGGACATAGAAATAGTACCTTATGAACTGTGCTTCCTAACAGCATACAATATTGGTAGGCTTATTTTCAGGCCTAGACTTATTACCAGATAGATATAATTAAATCACTTTCTTGATTCTGACTCGCAGTTCTTTAGTCTTGATCAATTTCTTTCTCTTTTTTTCATAATATATGTAGTTGGCTCACCACATTCATTTCTGTTTTAGTGTTTTAACCAATTACACATGATCATTGATTTTTTTTTTTACTTGTTTATTTCAGAACCAATTTCTTCATGAAGGAAAATAAATATTATACTCACGTGAACTTCATCCTCCCGTTTGCCTACATAATGATACTTGGATTCTTCTTCACAGAGAGCACTGATCAGGTAGGTGTAAAAACTAGACTCTGTTACCCAGAAACATTTCAGCAGATTTTTTAACATTTTTAATTCAATCCCAGAAACATTTCAGCAGATTTTTTAAACTTTTAATTCAATCCCAGAAACAATTCAGCAGATTTTTTTAAAACTTTTAATTCAATCCAATGTCAAGAAGAAACTGATATTTGTCTCAATAGATTGATTTTCAAATTCTATGTCATGTTGATCTTTTTGCCTTTTCCAGACAGTAGTTTTACACCGGGACCAAACAGATGAATGGAAGGGATGGATGCAGCTTGTAATATTGATATACCATTTAACTGGAGCTTCTAAGGTAGGTATTGTATAATAAGTTATTGGAATTCTGCACTTAGGTACATTTTGTCGCGTTTGTGTAATTCGTGGGAAGATTCATGTGAAAATGTTTCCTTGGCCAAATAATGTATAAAACATTTAATCTCACAACACACCTCTACACTACCCCCAACATACCTTAGTATTACCTCCTCCCATACCACAGCCACCTCTGTCCTCAATACATACTGCTAATGTAGATTCACCTCCCATCTTTAATCTCACAACACACCTCTACACTACCCCCAACATACATTAGTATTACCTCCTCCCATACCACAGCCACCTCTGTCCTCAATACATACTAATGTAGATTCACCTCCCATCTTTAATCTCACAACACACCTCTCTCCTCCCATACCACAGCCACCTCTGTCCTCAATACATCCTGCTAATGTTTATTCACCTCCCATCTTTAATCTCACAACACACCTCTACACTACCCCCAACATACATTAGTATTACCTCCCCCCCCCATACTACAGCCACCTCTGTCCTCAATACATACTGCTAATGTAGATTCACCTCCCATCTTTAATCTCACAACACACCTCTACACTACCCCCAACATACATTAGTATTACCTCCCCCCCCCCCCCATACTACAGCCACCTCTGTCCTCAATACATACTGCTAATGTAGATTCACCTCCCATCTTTAATCTCACAACACACCTCTACACTACCCCCAACATACATTAGTATTACCTCCTCCCATACCACAGCCACCTCTGTCCTCAATACATACTGCTAATGTAGATTCACCTCCCATCTTTAATCTCACAACACACCTCTACACTACCCCCAACATACATTAGTATTACCTCCTCCCATACCACAGCCACCTCTGTCCTCAATACTAATGTAGATTCACCTCCCATCTTTAATCTCACAACACACCTCTACACTCATACTAGTATTACCTCCTCCCATATACAGCCACCTCTGTCCTCAATACATACTGCTAATGTAGATTCACCTCCCATCTTTAATCTCACAACACACCTCTACACTACCCCCAACATACATTAGTATTACCTCCCCCCCCCCATACTACAGCCACCTCTGTCCTCAATACATACTGCTAATGTAGATTCACCTCCCATCTTTAATCTCACAACACACCTCTACACTACCCCCAACATACATTAGTATTACCTCCCCCCCCATACTACAGCCACCTCTGTCCTCAATACATACTGCTAATGTAGATTCACCTCCCATCTTTAATCTCACAACACACCTCTACACTACCCCCAACATACACCCCCCCCCATACTACAGCCACCTCTGTCCTCAATACATACTGCTAATGTAGATTCACCTCCCATCTTTAATCTCACAACACACCTCTACACTACCCCCAACATACATTAGTATTACCTCCTCCCATAATACAGCCACCTCTGTCCTCAATACATACTGCTAATGTAGATTCACCTCCCATCTTTAATCTCACAACACACCTCTACACTACCCCCAACATACATTAGTCCCATACTACAGCCACCTCTGTCCTCAATACATACTGCTAATGTAGATTCACCTCCAATCTTTAATCTCACAACACACACACCTCTACACTACTACAGCCACCTCCCCAACATACATGTAGATTCACCTCCCATCTTTAATCTCACAACACACCTCTACACTACCCCCAACATACATTAGTATTACCTCCTCCCATACCACAGCCACCTCTGTCCTCAATACATACTGCTAATGTAGATTCACCTCCAATCTTTAATCTCACAACACACCTCTACACTACCCCCAACATACATTAGTATTACCTCCTCCCAACACACCCCATACATACTACAGCCACCTCTGTCCTCTGTCCTCAATACATAATACATACTGCTAATGTAGATTCACCTCCCATCTTTAATCTCACAACACACCTCTACACTACCCCCAACATACATTAGTATTACCTCCCCCCCCATACTACAGCCACCTCTGTCCTCAATACATACTGCTAATGTAGATTCACCTCCAATCTTTAATCTCACAACACACCTCTACACTACCCCCAACATACATTAGTATTACCTCCTCCCATACCACAGCCACCTCTGTCCTCAATACATACTGCTAATGTAGATTCACCTCCCATCTTTAATCTCACAACACACCTCTACACTACCCCCAACATACTAATTAGATTCACCTCCCATCTTTAATCTCACAACACACCTCTACACTACCCCCAACATACATTAGTATTACCTCCCCCCCCATACTACAGCCACCTCTGTCCTCAATACATACTGCTAATGTAGATTCACCTCCAATCTTTAATCTCACAACACACCTCTACACTACCCCCAACATACATTAGTATTACCCCCCCCCCCCATACTACAGCCACCTCTGTCCTCAATACATACTGCTAATGTAGATTCACCTCCAATCTTTAATCTCACAACACACCTCTACACTACCCCCAACATACATTAGTATTACCTACCCCCCCCCATACTACAGCCACCTCTGTCCTCAATACATACTGCTAATGTAGATTCACCTCCAATCTTTAATCTCACAACACACCTCTACACTACCCCCAACATACATTAGTATTACCTCCCCCCCATACCACAGCCACCTCTGTCCTCAATACATACTGCTAATGTAGATTCACCTCCCATCTTTAATCTCACAACACACCTCTACACTACCCCCAACATACATTAGTATTACCTACCCCCCCCATACTACAGCCACCTCTGTCCTCAATACATACTGCTAATGTAGATTCACCTCCAATCTTTAATCTCACAACACACCTCTACACTACCCCCAACATACATTAGTATTACCTCCCCCCCCATACTACAGCCACCTCTGTCCTCAATACATACTGCTAATGTAGATTCACCTCCCATCTTTAATCTCACAACACACCTCTACACTACCCCCAACATACATTAGTATTACCCCCCCCATACACAGCCACCTCTGTCCTCAATACATACTGCTAATGTAGATTCACCTCCCATCTTTAATCTCACAACACACCTCTACACTACCCCCAACATACATTAGTATTACCTCCTCCCATACCACAGCCACCTCTGTCCTCAATACATACTGCTAATGTAGATTCACCTCCCATCTTTAATCTCACAACACACCTCTACACTACCCCCAACATACATTAGTATTACCTCCTCCCATACCACAGCCACCTCTGTCCTCAATACAAACTAATGTAGATTCACCTCCCATCTTTAATCTCACAACACACCTCTACACTACCCCCAACATACATTAGTATTACCTCCTCCCATACCACAGCCACCTCTGTCCTCAATACAAACTAATGTAGATTCACCTCCCATCTTTAATCTCACAACACACCTCTACACTACCCCCAACATACATTAGTATTACCTCCCCCCCCCCCATACTACAGCCACCTCTGTCCTCAATACATACTGCTAATGTAGATTCACCTCCCATCTTTAATCTCACAACACACCTCTACACTACCCCCAACATACATTACCTACTCCCATACCACAGCCTCCTCTGTCCTCAATACTAACTAATGTAGATTCACCTCCCATCTTTAATCTCACAACACACCTCTACACTACCCCCAACATACATTAGTATTACCTCCCCCCCCCCCATACTACAGCCACCTCTGTCCTCAATACATACTGCTAATGTAGATTCACCTCCCATCTTTAATCTCACAACACACCTCTACACTACCCCCAACATACATTAGTATTACCTCCCCCCCATACTACAGCCACCTCTGTCCTCAATACATACTGCTAATGTAGATTCACCTCCAATCTTTAATCTCACAACACACCTCTACACTACCCCCAACATACATTAGTATTACCTCCTCCCATACCACAGCCACCTCTGTCCTCAATACATACTGCTAATGTAGATTCACCTCCAATCTTTAATCTCACAACACACCTCCATACATTAGTATCTTTAGCCATCTCACAACACACCTCTACACTACCCCCAACATACATTAGTATTACCTCCCCCCCCCATACTACAGCCACCTCTGTCCTCAATACATACTGCTAATGTAGATTCACCTCCAATCTTTAATCTCACAACACACCTCTACACTACCCCCAACATACATTAGTATTACCTCCCCCCCCCCATACTACAGCCACCTCTGTCCTCAATACATACTGCTAATGTAGATTCACCTCCCATCTTTAATCTCACAACACACCTCTACACTACCCCCAACATACATTAGTATTACCTCCTCCCATAATACAGCCACCTCTGTCCTCAATACATACTGCTAATGTAGATTCACCTCCCATCTTTAATCTCACAACACACCTCTACACTACCCCCAACATACATTAGTATTACCTCCTCCCAAACCACAGCCACCTCTGTCCTCAATACATACTGCTAATGTAGATTCACCTCCCATCTTTAATCTCACAACACACCTCTACACTACCCCCAACATACATTAGTATTACCTCCTCCCATACCACAGCCACCTCTGTCCTCAATACATACTGCTAATGTAGATTCACCTCCCATCTTTAATCTCACAACACACCTCTACACTACCCCCAACATACATTAGTATTACCTCCCCCCCATACCACAGCCACCTCTGTCCTCAATACATACTGCTAATGTAGATTCACCTCCCATCTTTAATCTCACAACACACCTCTACACTACCCCCAACATACATTAGTATTACCTCCTCCCATACCACAGCCACCTCTGTCCTCAATACATACTGCTAATGTAGATTCACCTCCCATCTTTAATCTCACAACACACCTCTACACTACCCCCAACATACATTAGTATTACCTCCCCCATACTACAGCCACCTCCCCCATACTGCTAACAGCCACCCATCTTTGTCCTCAACACATACTAATACATGTAGATTCACCTCCAATCTTTAATCTCACAACACACCTCTACACTACCCCCAACATACATTAGTATTACCTCCCCCCCCCCTTCTACATCCACCTCTGTCCTCAATACATACTGCTAATGTAGATTCACCTCCCATCTTTAATCTCACAACACACCTCTACACTACCCCCAACATACATTAGTATTACCTACCCCCCCCCCCCCATACTACAGCCACCTCTGTCCTCAATACATACTGCTAATGTAGATTCACCTCCAATCTTTAATCTCACAACACACCTCTACACTACCCCCAACATACATTAGTATTACCTCCTCCCATACCACAGCCACCTCTGTCCTCAATACATACTGCTAATGTAGATTCACCTCCCATCTTTAATCTCACAACACACCTCTACACTACCCCCAACATACATTAGTATTACCCCCCCCCCATACTACAGCCACCTCTGTCCTCAATACATACTGCTAATGTAGATTCACCTCCTAACCTTATTGTCACAACACACCTCTACACTACCCCCAACATACATTAGTATTACCTCCCCCCCCATACTACAGCCACCTCTGTCCTCAATACATACTGCTAATGTAGATTCACCTCCAATCTTTAATCTCACAACACACCTCTACACTACCCCCAACATACATTAGTATTACCTCCTCCCATACCACAGCCACCTCTGTCCTCAATACATACTGCTAATGTAGATTCACCTCCCATCTTTAATCTCACAACACACCTCTACACTACCCCCAACATACATTAGTATTACCTCCTCCCATACCACAGCCACCTCTGTCCTCAATACATACTGCTAATGTAGATTCACCTCCAATCTTTAATCTCACAACACACCTCTACACTACCCCCAACATACATTAGTATTACCTCCCCCCCCCATACTACAGCCACCTCTGTCCTCAATACATACTGCTAATGTAGATTCACCTCCCATCTTTAATCTCACAACACACCTCTACACTACCCCCAACATACATTAGTATTACCTCCCCCCCCCCCCCCCCATACTACAGCCACCTCTGTCCTCAATACATACTGCTAATGTAGATTCACCTCCAATCTTTAATCTCACAACACACCTCTACACTACCCCCAACATACATTAGTATTACCTCCTCCCATACCACAGCCACCTCTGTCCTCAATACATACTGCTAATGTAGATTCACCTCCCATCTTTAATCTCACAACACACCTCTACACTACCCCCAACATACATTAGTATTACCCCCCCCCCCCATACTACAGCCACCTCTGTCCTCAATACATACTGCTAATGTAGATTCACCTCCCATCTTTAATCTCACAACACACCTCTACACTACCCCCAACATACATTAGTAATACCTCCACCCATACAACACACACCTCTGTCCTCAATACATACTGCTAATGTAGATTCACCTCCAATCTTTAATCTCACAACACACACACTACCCCCAACATACATTACCTCCTCCCATACCACAGCCACCTCTGTCCTCAATACATACTGCTAATGTAGATTCACCTCCAATCTTTAATCTCACAACACACCTCTACACTACCCCCAACATACATTAGTATTACCTCCTCCCATACCACAGCCACCTCTGTCCTCAATACATACTGCTAATGTAGATTCACCTCCCATCTTTAATCTCACAACACACCTCTACACTACCCCCAACATACATTAGTATTACCTCCCCCCCCCCCATACTACAGCCACCTCTGTCCTCAATACATACTGCTAATGTAGATTCACCTCCAATCTTTAATCTCACAACACACCTCTACACTACCCCCAACATACATTAGTATTACCTCCCCCCCCCCATACTACAGCCACCTCTGTCCTCAATACATACTGCTAATGTAGATTCACCTCCAATCTTTAATCTCACAACACACCTCTACACTACCCCCAACATACATTAGTATTACCTCCCCCATACATACTACAGCCACCTCTGTCCTCAATACATACTGCTAATGTAGATTCACCTCCAATCTTTAATCTCACAACACACCTCTACACTACCCCCAACATACATTAGTATTACCTCCTCCCATACCACAGCCACCTCTGTCCTCAATACAATCTAATGTAGATTCACCTCCCATCTTTAATCTCACAACACACCTCTACACTACCCCCAACATACATTAGTACATACATTAGATTCACCTCCAATCTTTAATCTCACAACACACCTCTACACTACCCCCAACATTACCCCTCCCATACTACAGCCACCTCTGTCCTCAATACATACTGCTAATGTAGATTCACCTCCAATCTTTAATCTCACAACACATATACCACAGCCACCCTCAATACATACTGCTAATGATTCACCCCCATCTTTAATCTCACAACACACATTAGTATTACCCCCCCCCCCCATACTACAGCCACCTCTGTCCTCAATACATACTGCTAATGTAGATTCACCTCCCATCTTTAATCTCACAACACACCTCTACACTACCCCCAATCTACCTCCCCCCATACTACAGCCACCTCTGTCCTCAATACATACTGCTAATGTAGATTCACCTCCAATCTTTAATCTCACAACACACCTCTACACTACCCCCAACATACATTAGTATTACCTCCCCCCCCCCCCCCATACTACAGCCACCTCTGTCCTCAATACATACTGCTAATGTAGATTCACCTCCCATCTTTAATCTCACAACACACCTCTACACTACCCCCAACATACATTAGTATTACCTCCCCCCCCCATACTACAGCCACCTCTGTCCTCAATACATACTGCTAATGTAGATTCACCTCCCATCTTTAATCTCACAACACACCTCTACACTACCCCCAACATACATTAGTATTACCCCCCCCCATACCACAGCCACCTCTGTCCTCAATACATACTGCTAATGTAGATTCACCTCCCATCTTTAATCTCACAACACACCTCTACACTACCCCCAACATACATTAGTATTACCTCCCCCCCCCCCCCATATCACAGCCACCTCTGTCCTCAATACATACTGCTAATGTAGATTCACCTCCCATCTTTACTCTCACAACACACCTCTACACTACCCCCTGACATACCTTAGCAGTATCTCAACCTATCACTATCATCTCGGCTGTCACCTCTACAGTATCCAAACTAACTCCTTGAAATATTAAATTTACTCAAGTGGTTATACATATATATCAAATGTAAATACCAAATGTTGCATATTTTTTCTTTTTCTTCTGCAGGTGCTCCCTATATATATGCACATCAGAGTTTTGGTATCATCCTATCTGTTTTTAACGGGGTATGGACACTTCATGTTTTTCTGGAAGAAAGGACAATACAATGTGTTTCGTTACTGTCAGGTAATTATAAGAAGGCTCATACCAGTCTGTTTTCCTTTCCATCATTACAAATGTACACAATCTTAGATGCGTATGTAAAGATATTTAATCTAGTTCCTATATATACTATTTCCTGATGTCGTATATTTATTGTATATTTCGTAACAAAACTTGTTAGAATATTTATTATCCTTTATGGGAACTTATTATTTTCGTAAGTGAAATACACAAGTGCTGATGGTGAGAATTTGTTCAAACAGATGATTGTTATTTAGGACTCTGAAATGATCAATTACTAATCAATTTCAAATTACTACTCCAAAACCTGGTGTCTGTTGACTATCGTCCTATCTCAAAACAATAATTTCCGTAAAAAGAAAAGCATCTGATGGCTTGAAGGTGACAAAGGGGTATGTCTGTTTGGTGATAAAATCAAACACATATAAACCTTGTCTGATTGTGTGTTATATTTCACCAGAAAACAGTTTTTACCCGGAAATTAATCATTTCATTGAAGGTAACTAACTCTTGCCTATGAGGTCATATAATTGTTATTCTGCTAGTTTAAATAAACAAGATATACATTGTTAATTATTATGTTGTAGTCTGCATGTATCCTTCTAAGTGCTTATCATATGTTAAGTATTTTTTGTGCATACCCAGTTTTTGTAACTTAGTGACCTATCGAAATTGCAAAACACGAAAAACAAAAAGATTAGTCTGCGTCTATTGGCTATGACTTACTTCCCCTCACTTTTATTCATATAATTGCTGAATCAAATTAGAAAGCATTTTGTAAATAATTATTGGAGACAGAAATACTTATTAGGGCCCGCATTGAGATGCGGTGTCCTTTAGTAATCAGCTTGTCTGTCTGCCTGTCATGGTTGTCTGTCTTTTTTTTGGTTTCTGTAAAGTATCTCAAGTTCTCTTGGGCCATTGGCACTCATTCTTTATGCCAAGCTTACTTAAAGCAAATGCTTGCTTGGGGTTTGTAGCTTTTCATCTCTCAAGGTTAAGGGTCAAGGTCACTGTTGCTATACATAGAAAATCAGTTTCCATGTGAAAATTCAAGTCTGCTTTGGCCAATGAAACTCAAACCTTGTACAGTTCTTTCTTACAAAAATGGCTTGCTTTGGATTGTTACGGGTCCCAGGATAAATGGTCGAGATTACTGTTACTCTAAATAGAAAAGTTGTCTCTACCATATAACTTAGGTTCCCTTGAGCCAGTCAAACTCAAACTTAATGCAATGGTTTCTTACTGAAAGTGCTTGATAAGGATTACTTTTTAGACCCAGAAGTTGAGAAGATTGAGGTTATTGTTGCTATAATAGAAAATCCATTTGCTGGAATAACTTGCGTTTACTGTAGCCGATCTTAACTCAAATTTGATACAATACTTCTTAACAGAAAGTTCTTGGTTGAGATAGATTGCCATTCAGGTCCAAAGGTCAAAGGTCACTGTAAATATAAGTTAAGATCAGTTTCTGTGTGATAACTTGCTTCGGCTTTGTCCAATCTAAATCAAACTTCACACAATGCTTCCTTTCCACTAGTGCTCTCTTGGTATATTGCTTTTTATATCCCAAGCTCTAAGGTCAAGGTCACTGTTATTATGAATGAAAAATCAGATTGTTGAATGTATTTGTTAGTATGTTTTTTTTTTGCCCACCATCAACAAATCGCTCTGCCCTGTGGTCCGTCATCCATCCATCATCTGTCTGTCCTTAAACAATTTTTGTAATCACTATTTCTTGAAGAGTAAAAGATGGATCTTTCTCAAATTTCATAGGTAGCTTCTCCATGGTCCCTAGTTGTGCCCATGTTATTTTGGGACTGATCAGAAATACAAATGGCTGACAGATGGAAATCTTAGATTTTGACCTTGGAAGTTTGCTATCGCTATTTTTGAGAGTTACAGCATAGATCTTTCTCAAATTTTGTGTGTATGCTTTCCTTGATTCCTCGTCGTGCCTGTATGGTTTTGGCACTGATCAGAAAAAAATGAAATGGCCCTCAAGCAGCCATCTTGGATTATGACATCACAAAATTGTTATTACTATTTGTTGAGAAATACTCAATAGATCTTTCTCAAATTTCATGTATAGGTTCCTTTAGGTTCCTAGTTGTGCCTGTCAGAGTTTGGGACTGATCATAAAAATAAAATGGCCGACAGGCAGCCATTTTGGATTTTGCTTATTATTATTGCTTTGCTCTTTAAGAGCAAAAACAGAGAAAAGAAGGGAAAAGTAAAAACATCCAACTTTCAAAGAGCATATAAAGATCAAACAATGGTTCTTGACTTCTTTTGTGTAGTGTAATTAAGGTCTTACCAGTAATCTGTCAATTTGGGATGTGTGTCTAAGGATGGGATGGTGGGTGAGAGGAGGGATTTCCAGCCACATAGCAAGGCCCTTGCTGACCTTTCATTGTTGTAGTTTTAGACAGTGCAAGTTTGAGTTTGCACACTAGATAGAAGAATTAACAAGAAGTGAAATTGGGACTTCTAGCATATGAACACAAGTTGGTCAAGCTTTTGCCTCTGAAACATCACAGGTACTATACTGAACTTACAGCGGTTACTTGCTATATTTTTGATGCTGCAGTCAACATAGTTAAATAAATGGGAACTGGAATGCTTGGAAGTAATCCTGTGATTTACTGGCGTTCACTCAGTGAAAGTTATGTCGTGAATATTTACACTACAAATCTATAAAGTACACCTGTGTGACAAATGCTTTGATGACTTTTAAACATTGACATGAAAAGTACCAAAATTTAAAAGAGATAAAATTTTGACCTGTTAAAAATATCTTATGTACTTCCACGCGTAACAGGTTAGTGTGTGTTGTTTTATGTCATAGAATTTAGAATGATAATAATAACTACAAAGAAAATGATAACATAGGGGTTATTTTTGCATATTGTGTCATCTGCCCTAATGTTGATATATTATTGAACGTCCTGGTACTTCCGGGTGTGCTTAGAGATGAATGTAAAGTTATATTATGTTGAAGGTCAATCGAAATTAAGTTTAGCATAATTTTAGAGAAGCTTGGCACTCAATCTTTGAAACTAAGATACCGTATTTATTCCAATAAATGCCCCGGCGTGAAATTTTTCAGACAGGGGGCAATTAATAGAACACAAAATTTCATTATTCGTTGGTCGTGACATGCCATGGCTGCAATTTAAAAACATTGTTTAACAAACTAACAAATTACTCAGCAAAGAATGCATTTGAAAATTGCAGTAATTCCAACATCGTTGTAGCTTTAAACATTGTTGTCAATTGCATTCTGATAACCTGAATTCTTGTATGAAATGACACGAAGTCAGTCGTGTCAGCTTCAGTCAAAAACATACAATGTTCATCATCACTTGTAGGCCTAGTTTGCATAACAAAATAAAAAAACACAGCAGTATATAAGCCAGTCTGTTTCTTAATAAATCCCACATACCTGATAACAATGTCTGGGACAAAATAAAATTACGACACTGCTTTCAAGCTTAAAGTAATCGCTTTCGCAGAGGAGAAGGGTAAACATGCCGTCGCAAAAGTGTTTCGTGTTGGCAGAAAACGAGTGCGGGACTGGTGTCAAAACAAAGAAAAATTAAAAAATCTTCCAAAAACATCTAAATGCTATAAAGGAGGTGGGAGGCATGTCAGATATGAAGATGCGTATGCATAAGGCAAATGGTAGTCAATCGTTCAAAGCCTCATATGGATGGTTTTCTAAATTCAAAAAGAGACATAACATTTCGTTCAGGCGATCTATGCATGTGGCACAACATGAAGTTTCATTAATTGATGATCGTATTGACAGTTTTTTGAATTTCGTGTAAAGAATGCTTCGGCTACGAGAATACCCCGATAGCCATATCTCTAACATGGACGAAACCCCGGTGTGGTTTGACATGCCAGGAAAATCGACACTGGCAATAAAGGGGGAAAAGGAGGTCAGAGTTTACAGTTAAAAAAATAACGGTGACACTGGCAACATATGCCGATGGGACTAAAATTGCCCCCCTTGTGCACATGCCAGGCATTCGTCCCCTTCCGAAAGTTGACATACCAAGTAGTATTGTGGTATACATGTGCGGGGCCGGACAAACGAGGAAAGTATAAAATTTTGGTTAAAAAAACTCTGGGATGTGAATAATACATCTAGGCGGTTATTAGTATGGGACGCTTTCCGTGGTCATCTTACTGAAGATGTAAAAAAACTGGTTCATCAAAAATATAATTCAGACATCTGTGTTATACCCGGAGGATGTACATGTAAGCTACAGCCAGCCGATGTGTCGTGGAATAAACCCTGACGAATGGTGTTTCAGCTGGCCCCAGAACAAAAAATCGTAAAGCCCCATCTAAATCTGTAATGTTGTCTTGGGTCAAGACAGCATGGGATAGCATTAGCCCAGACACAATCAGAAGATCGTTCAAAAAATGCGGTATCACAAATTCGCTGTACGGTAGCGAGGATCATATTTTCCAGCATGATTCTGACGAAGAGGAATTCCAGGGGTTTAGTGAAAAGGATGTCCAAGCTGCAGATGACGTTTTGCAAAATTTAATGGGTGATGTGAACGCGCCTTCTATTCCACAAATAGAACTGAGTGAAAGCGAGACTGGAGAAAGTGAAAGTGAAAGTGAAGACAGTAGTTTGTACGGCAGTCCCGGCCATTAGGCCTGCAGTATATTGAAATGAACCGTGGATTAAATCGATATTACTTGTGTACATGTCGTGACAGTGTAATTTTCTTGTGCCAAAATTTATTTGTTCATGTTCATGGATACCAGGAATGTAAAATTTATTAAAAGGTAAGCTTTGTAACCTGACTTCTGAGTTGTTGAAATTTACTGAGAAAACAGATGGGGGGCGTTTATTAGAGACGGGGCGTTTATTGGAATAAATACGGTATACATTGTACTTACTGGTTACGATTGTCAAATTAAACTGATTAAATATGGTTTGATAAAAAATGAAATGTAGATTTTACTGAAAGGTCTCGTGC